CAAATTTCCTGAATTAGGTGTTTTATGTTATTAATAAATTTGAAAAAGTTCATATTTATTTTATTTTATATTATTTTTGCCGGGTACTTTCCAATGTTACTACGTTCGTTTTCAGTGATTTTGGTTTGTGTATATATATATATATATATATATTTACGCAACTGATTTGTTTAATTCCGGTGTTTTCACTTCTGCCGCAGCCAATTTTCAAGTCACTCAAGCTGATGTCATTTAAATGGCCAAATTGAAATTTTATGTGTAATTTTTAAATACACACTTCAGCATACGATCCACTATGAAGACAGATACCTTATTTAATGTTGACTGCGCTTTTGTTGTTGTATTACAACCGTCTTCAGAACTTAAAGTCTTTCTTTGCACTGTGTCCCATATCAAATTTTATGTGCTATCTACTCAACCTTTGCCTTTTTTTAATATTATTTTGCTTATTCGTTATATGCTGATCTCTTTGTGCGCGCATAGCATACTTTAATCAAGTAATTTAATAAAAGACAAACAGCATGGCCCGGCGTTGCCCGTGCTTCATTCAAAAATCGGACGACTCATACAGCAATCTCTATCACTTGACTTGATATTTTTGCCCTTCTTTGCCTTTAAAGGAGTGCCATTTTCCGTGCTGATGTTGCTACATGCCTTACTTCTTGCCTATCTCACACTGCGAATTTTTCTAAGCTCTATACTAAACATTAAATCTGTTACGAAAAAAGAACTAAACAAAATGAACACAAAACGATCAGCTTAAAAAAAATGACTCGTAACGGAAAAAACCGAATGAAAAAAGAATGTTAACAACAAATACATTTTCACACCCAACCCAGTTCTGCGGAATCAGAATCAACGTTGAGTTTAAGCAAGCGAATGAGCCAATTGCAGTAAAGTGCCATGCAGATTTAAATTTTTCCCACTTGTGACGAAAGCATCTATCGATTTTTTTGCATGCTAGCATGCTAGTTAACATTCGTGTCAGTCATCTGTTGGCTCTCACTCTGGCCAATAGAATCTTCCTGCCTATTCGTGGCAGCCAGCTATAGGCTCACATTCTGGCCAGTAGAAAATGGCCGCAAACTACATGAAAACTGCCGTAGAAGCATGAAAAAATCGATTATTTCCACTATCGATGGGAGTTGGGAAATGCAAAGTCGGTCTTGGCGTTCCTGCTAACTTGGAGCATGTGCATGTAAATTTTGGTGCAAATCCGTCGAAAATTGCGGCCGTGCATTCGTTACACACACACACACACATCCTGCCTTTTATAGATAGAGATATGATAGACAGAACTTGTCGATATTAAAAGCAAACATGTTTGAAAGAATTATTGCTGCCGAAATATACCTCATATATATATATATATATATATATATATATATATATATATATATATATATATGTATGTATGTATGTATGCATGTATGTATGTCTGTTTGTGTGTGTATGATCTTTTCAGATGGTCTTTTCTAGCTTTTCCTGAATCTTTATATCATTTTTTCATATCAGTTAATTTTTTTTCAGCAGACATTTGTCTTTTTTAAGGCTGCCTAAATAGTTACATAATTCATTTATTTGGTGGGTGTTAGTGCTGGTTCGTTATTGTATTTCTTTTATTTTAACCTTCCATGTTTTTTATTGGTTTGCAGATAAATAAACAATACGTATCTCAGGTGCGCATGTATGGTTACCTTCTCCTACACACATTCCATATGATTGTTTACCTATAGTAATCCAACCCACGCTCAATTCAAACACTTGAACTATCAATATATGTACATTATGCCAATCTTTGGGTGTAAGCACATATACATGATCAGAACTTCAGCTTGTAATAATTTAAAACGCTATTCGCAGTATTATTATTATTATTATTGTTATTATTATTATTATTATTATTATGTATTATTATTATTATTATTATTATTATTATTATTATTATTATTATTATTATTATTATTATTATTATTATTATTATTATTATTATTATTATTATTATTATTGTTATTATTATTATTATTATTATTATTATTATTATTATTATTATTATTATTATTATTATTATTATTATTATTATTATTATTATTATTATTATTATTATTATTATTATGTATTATTATTATTATTATTATTATTATTATTATTATTATTATTATTATTATTATTATTATTATTATTATTATTATTATTATTATTATTATTATTATTATTATTATTATTATTATTATTATTATATTATTATTATTATTTATTTATTATTATTATTTATTATTATTATTATTATTATTATTATTATTATTATGTATTATTATTATTGTTATTATTATTATTATTATTTATTATTATTATTATTATTATTATTATTATTATTATTATTATTATTATTATTATTATTATTATATTATTATTATTATTATTATTATTATTATTATTATTATTATTATTATTATTATTATTATTATTATTATTATTATTATTATTATTATTATTGTTATTATTATTATTGTTATTATTATTATTATTATTATGTATTATTATTATTATTGTTATTATTATTATTATTATTATTATTATTATTATTATTATTATTATTATTATTATTATTATTATTATTATTATTATTATTATTATTATTATTATTATTATTATTATTATTATTATTATTATTATTATTATTATGTATTATTATGTATTATTATTATTATTATTATTATTATTATTATTATTATTATTATTATTATTATTGTTATTATTATTATTATTATTATTATTATTATTATTATTATTATTATTATTATTATTATTATTATTATTATTATTATTATTATTGTTATTATTATTATTATGTATTATTATTATTATTATTATTATTATTATTATTATTATGTATTATTATTATTATTATTATTATTATTATTTAGATTATTATTATTATTATTATTATTATTATTATTATTATTATTATTATTATGTATTATTATTATTATTATTATTATTATTATTATTATTATGTATTATTATTATTGTTGTTATTATTATTATTATTATTGTATTATTATTATTATTATTATTATTATTATTATTATTATTATTATGTATTATTATTATTGTTATTATTATTATTATTATTATTATGTATTATTATTATTATTATTATTATTATTATTATTATTATTATTATTATTATTATTATTATTATTATTATTATTATTATTATTTATTATTATTATTATTATTATTATTATGTATTATTATTATTATTATTATTATTATTATTATTATTATTATTATGTATTATTATTATTATTGTTATTATTATTATTATTATTATGTATTATTATTATTATTGTTATTATTATTATTATTATTATTATGTATTATTATTATTATTATTATTATTATTATTATTATTTATGTATTATTATTATTATTGTTATTATTATTATTACTGTTATCATATATGAGTCGTGTGCTCCTCGACATTCCTCAGGTAATGCTGTTGGAGCTTTTGCTCTTGTATTCATCAGTTTGAATAAGAGAAAAATTGCTTCCCTCGTAAAATATTTGCTTTAAGAAGACTGAAGAACTTATTAGCTGAAAACTAAGTTAAATATTTCTAGTCAGATAACTCGTGGAGTCATGACATAATTTCAGACTCCATCTCCATGGATTTTATACATCTGAGTCACAAAGTATTTTTTATTTTCTATTAGTCTAGTTATTATCACATCATTATCACATCATTATCACACTATATACATGTGATTACTACTGAATGTACTTGTACACATAAGACTACTATATATACACCAACGAGATATGTTCTTTCCTTAAATAGATAAATACACTGGCTGACCTGTTTTGTGATGTACAATCTTTTTATATATATATATATATATATATATATATATATATATATATATATATATATATATATATATACTATATTGTGTTTTTGTTTTGTGCGTGTGTGTGTGAGAGAGAGAGGGAGAGAGAGAGGAGTAGGGTTCGTTTCGTTCTCGTCTGTATCAACATATTTGTGTGCACAGGTGTATGAATAAGCGATTATTGCATTTGTTCGAGTTTAGTCGACAGACGTTGAGGGAAATTGCTTTACAAATACCTTTTTCAATGTCTCGCTACATTTTGTGGCAACCTAATGCATTTTTAATAGGAGGCGACAATTGTCAGCGGTTTGTCTTGGCATCTCTCGATTATTCATGAGAAATGTGTTTCGAAAAGAAGAAAAGAATAAAAAAAAACGAAGAGGGAAAATGCGAAATTAGTAAGGTTATCAAATGTTTGAATGGTTGTGAAAGATTCTGTAATAAGGATTTCAATGTCTTTAGGTCGTTTTTTTTTCTTCATAGAACATTTTTCTACAGTTTATTTACGACATTCACTTTCGTCTTGCTTACTATTATTCGAGAGTTCAGTTTTATGCATGTTTTCGTCCATCAAACATTCTTTGTCAAAGTGGGTGAATTTTCTTTTTCAACATAGAGCAGAGTGAATTATTACTAGCCACCATGTCTAGATTTTGAGGAGGCCAGACAATGTCTGACCTATGTTCAGTCTATCGTTCTTTTAACTTTTGACATAGATTACTTTGGTCTTTTCACTTGGATTACAAAAGATGTTACCATTCCTACAATGAAACATTTATTAAGCCGGGTCAAGTAAGCACCGTAAAGAAAATTTGATATTTAAAAATTAATTGGCCAGTAAGCTCATTTTCTAAAATTTCTCGATATTTCTGCGTCTATTCTGTAATATAACAGTTAAAACACAGACAAAAGAAAAGCTCAAAGAAAATGTGTTGCCTCACAGCGAATCTTGTTCGTTTGTTTTAATATCGGTTAGTCCGCTAATTTTCAATTTCGATTTGTAATGTAACAAGCCAGAAAGAAACTCTAACGGCTTGTTTCTTGTAAAATTTAAGAAAATCCTCGATGTCTTTTACAAAACATTCATTTTACTCGTCTTATCATTGGATACAGATATAAACAAAATTTTCTAAGAACGAGAAAGATTATTAGATATGTATTTCTTTCAAATACGTTTACTAGTTTTTTGCAAAGCTAATATTTTATAAGGTTCAAAAGATGTTTATTATGTCGTTGTCAAGTAATCGTTGATTAAAAAAAACGATGTATTAACCAGGTAATGGAGGACACCGGCACCGAAGAAAGAAAAAAAAAAGAAAGAAAGAAAGAAAGAAAGAAAGAAAGAAAGAAAGACACACGTAAAAAGAAAAGAAAGTGATACTGGAATTAAGAGAAAGTAGTACAAATGCTAGAAGAAACAAAAGAGCAATACTGGAAACAAAGTAAGAGAGAGAAAAGGAAAGAAAAAAGAAAAAAAAACGAGATTCCAGAAGAAAGTCAGAATAGCAAAGGTTAAGGAAGAGAATGAAAATCGAAAACCTTTAATAAAGACACTGAGAAAAACGACTAAAGAAGAAAAAAGAGAGAAAAAGAAAAAAGAGAGAAAAGGAAAAAAAACAGAAAAAAGAAAAGCTTTGCAAGTTGAAAAGCAAAAGGATTCAGGCGGTTACTATGGAAGCAAGGGATGGGGCTAGCCAGTCCGAAATTGTACGGACGCTGTTTGGAATGTCTGCTGGGAAGTGCCAAGACGATCAATATTGGTTTTGGTTCGCGTGACAAGACATCGCCGTTCACTTCCTGAATAATGGAATGACCGAGACTTGATTCTGCGCACAAGCCTCTTTCGACATCGTCACTTCCGCCTTCGCCTTGAATTGTCTCTTCTGCATTCTATCCTATTCCCTATACACACACGCACATATGCGCATAAATGCATATATATATATATATATATATATATATAACACACACACACACATATATATAACACACACACACACACATATATATATATATATATATATATATATATATATATATAGTTGTTTTTGTCTTGTATTGCTTTTCTCGATTTGATTTTTTTTCTTTCTGCATTTCATAATGCCTTTCGAATGCTTTGCATTTTTCACTATAATGCTTATATTCTCCTGTTTCATTCATCATTATTTCTCTGTTTTTACTCTACTCAGTTTAATTTTATTTATTGTCTCTCATTCCTTTCAGATCAGATTGGTCTCTGTCTTCTTTTCTTTATTTATTTTCATTCATAGTTCGTTGATTTTTCATACAAATTTCTTTTTCAGTAAATTTCCATGTTCAATTTAGTCTTTATACATTTATTGATTAATATTTTATCTAAACTAGAAACAGTTTCCAGGACCATTTCTGTTGCGGGACACAATTAAACATATGGTTTTATTAGATACATTTCTTATTAATTTCTTCGCCAACTAAATATATATGAAAAGAAATAATTCTAAGTATACAAATTATTATGCTCTTAAATTTCCAGTCTCTATATTTTAGCATTTCTGCATATTATACACTAAACTTTTCAGTCTCTATATTTTATCATTTCTGCATATAATGCACTGAAATTTTCTGTCTCTATATTTTAACATTTCTGCATATAATGTACTTGAATTTTCAGTCTATATATTTTATCATTTCTGCATATAATGCACCTAAATTTTCAGTCTTTATATTCTAGCATTTCTGCATATAATGCACTTAAATTTTCAGTCTCTATATATTATATCATTTCCGCATATTATGCACTTAAATTTTCAGACTCTATATTTTGTAATTTCTGCATAAAATGCACTTAAGGTTTCAATCTCTACATTTTAACATTTCTGCACATAATGCACTTAAATTTTCAGACTCTATATTTTAGCATTTCTGCATATAATGCATTTAAATTTTCAGTCTCTATATTTTAATATGTCTGCATATAATGCAATTAAATTTTCATTCTCTATATTTTTTTCTGCATATAATGCACTTAAATTTTCAGTCTTTATATTTTAGCATTTCTGCATATAATTCACATTGAATTTTCAATCTCTACATTTTCAAATTTGTGCATGTAATTCACTCTGAATTTTCAGTTTCTATATTTTAGCATTACTGCATATAATGCACTATCGGTCCCATGAACACAGTTTAAATTTCAGTGTTTTTATTTTAGCAATTCAATCAATAATATTTTTATCAAATTTTTACTTTCACTAATTCACATGTTCAAAAGTAATATTTAATCTTTACTGTCATTTCCTTTCAGGACGTGAATGATCATGCCTCTCCATAACTTCCTGTTTTTTTTGGGGGGGGGAGTAACTTTAAACCCTTTACCATTCTACTCTTTATCCTTTTCTTCTACCATTCACTGAAACCCATAAACTCGTGTTTGTCATGTTTATCTTACTCTCATTATAACTTGAAAGTGTTAAATTCACCAAGTTTTCTTTTCTCATTTTTTTCTCGGAAATTTCAGTTGTCTTTTTCTCATTGTATATAACAATCTCTTTGTAATTCCTATTATCCTTTAAAGATCATCACTGCTCAAAAACTCTGTCTGTGGTATTTCAATATTCAGCGGTAGAACATCTCTGTTGCTTCAAGTCTTTTCTTCATCAGTGAGATTTTTATAAACCATAATACTAAGTTTTTACAAACCATAATATAACGGTTGATTATGTATTTACTATCAGGCATATAAATGCATGCATGCATCCAGTTACTGCGATATAAAATACATAATGGGAACATTACAATAAATTATTCTCATATTTCAGAGCTCACGTTCTTATATATGAGAGTATGAACGAACAAATATTAATAGGAAAGTGTTTTAACAGACAACAGAAAATGTGACACAAAATTCCGAAGGCGCATTGGAATAGATAAAGATGCCTTCCAAAATCTAAACAAAATATTAAGAAACAGAAAAATATTCCTTAGAAACAAAGAAAAGAGTGCTACATCGCTATCATCTGTCCTCGTATATGACGGTGAATTCTAAACAGTTTCCTCACATATGAAGAGGATACTTGAGGCAAATGTGTTTTGACAGAAGAATGCTCAAAATATCATGTCGGAACATGTGAGCAATTGTAAAATTTTTAAGGAAAATGAAAACAAAAAGACATTTATACTTAGAATCATGAAGAGACAGTCGAAATTTCTGAAACATATAATGAGGAAAGAGAATTTGACACTGACAGAATACAGTGAAGACAAGAAGGAAATTCGAAACAGTGAGTAACCTACGTAACAAGCTTTTATAAATGGATGGCAAAACAGGAACTGTGAGGGAGAGTAAGGAGAATACTTAGAACTACCAAGGATAGGAAATTGTTGGGAGCTATGATAGCTTGTCATGAAAGGCTGCGCCACATAAAAGAAAAGGCTAAATCCGAATCTATACTCAGTATCTATGTTCAAGGTAATTATTATATTAATATTGGTGCCACTAAGATTCGCTAAAAAAATGAGCATACATGATGAAAAAATGTCCCAAACTTAATAAAAACAAAATGTTACCGTCAAAATGCTATGTAATTATTAAGGGGAAGGACAAAAAGATCTTTTGATTATTAAATTGTTTTTAACACTTTAGAACGTTTGAAATGTTGGTTAAAAATTTTATTTTTCTTGCATCACACGCATGACCATAAATTCTTATGGGAACTTTTTGGCGGTTTTTTTGGTGCAAAACACACTGATTTTAAATTCTTGCAAAAATCAGACAATTGACGGATTTAAATGAAAATTTCAGGACTTACTTGCAAATGAATTAAATTATTTTAGACATTTTTCTTTTTAGGACATCTTTGTAAAAATCCATTTTTATATATCTGTTAACCTACCACTCATTTAACTTTATGAAATTTCGCGAAATTCTTGTTTGTAGTGCTTAATGTTTATATTACTGATAAGGATAATTCCTCGGAGAATGTCATTCATAATTTTTTTTTTTTTTTTTTGTTAAGCAGGACCTCCAGTTTCAGAAAATTTGCTGTGAATCGTTCAAATAAAAATGCAGTAAAATTAAGACATTATTTAATTAGAAAAGATTTTAATTGTTTTTTATGCATAAAATATATTATCGAAACTGTTGTCTTGAGAAAACAAATTTCCATGAATAATGAATTTTTACCAAAATTGTTCCCATTTTTTATTTTTATTTTAATTAAAATAACTTATAAACTTATAACTTATAAATTAATTTGTAGCAGTCAAGTGACATTGTTATTAAATTAAGACCATATTTACTAATAATAAATGAAAACGTTCACTACAATTCACCGTCCCCCATTATTTAAAAAATAATTTTGAATTTGCTTTATGTGTGTATAAACATGTCGATTCTTGTAAATATAGAAGTCAAAACTCGACTTTATCAGTAAATTAGAGTGGTAAGTATAGTAAATTTAAAATTAATTGGTAATTTTTTAACATTTTCGCAACAAGCGTCTCCGTAATTAATACTATAAAGCCAAAACACCTAAAATTCAATAAAATATCAGATTCTTTAGAATATTTTCCTAAATTTTTAAGATTACTGAATAATTAAAAAACTTAAAAAACAATTATATAAAAAACCGTTCACGTTATATTCGTCAAGTAATTGTTACAGTTATTTCCCCTTAGATAAAATTCCCAAACATAAGTCCATCTAGACAGTTGTCAAGACCTCATAAAAAGACACATCTCCATGTTAAAAATGATTTTTTACGATATTTTAAAATAAATTAAGTAATATTTGTTTCAAATCAGATTAATTTCTTTTCTGCACATATATAAGATGTGGTTTCCACAATCAAGGGCATAGCGGAAAATCTTGACCTACTAGAATAATATTCGAATTCAGCGTACACGATATATTCTAGAACGATGCTAGAATTGTGTGTTTATTAGACTAAATCGAGTAGGCTGATTCTGAATCTATTCAGAATAATTATACAACTTACATATTTCTAGCTATATGTAAGTGAATTGGTTTTTATACATTATGATGTGTTATGATATTTACTCTTTCTGATAATGCGAGAATAAAACTATATGTATAATTATATATAGATTCATATGTCTAATTTTATATGTAATGAAATCGGTGCCTGATCTGGCATCTTGGCTTCAGTCACTTCCCAACGGCCGTAACGTGGCTTCTCTGTGCCTTTTCTATAAATATCTCCATTGTAATTGTTTCGATGAACTTTATTCTTTGTTATTTCGACTTTACGAATTGAAGCGCAGTACTAGATTGGTAACTAGGTCTCATTTTACAGTGGGCATTGCTAGATGTAGCCATAACTGCTAAGCTAGCAGTTTCTTCTACCGCACTTATCTCTTGGGGGAATCTCTCCCGACTTCTTTTCGCTTTTCAGTCAACAATGATTTGTCAGAAATTTAAATGCAATGTCAGTCGTTATCTTCTGTCTTTTTGAATACTGTTTTTTTTTAATCTCATCTCTCTCTAATATTTTATTCTCAGATTTTTTCCCACTCAGTAACTCCTTGCTTTTTAGTGGCTTTATCGCCTTGCTTGGCGGTGTAATGATAGAAAGATGTACATACGCATTGCGTTGTTTAAGAGATTCGCTCCTCACAGACGTGTGTTGATCCTGTAAAAAATATTAAAAAACGAGCCTATCTAGGTATGTGTCTGAAAATCTACGATTATACATATATACTATACACTGTATAATATCATAAAGCATGTTTTTGCTTATCTGCGTAACGTTACATGAATGTTTTGTTATAATGCCGGTGTTTGTTCATATGTTCTCAACTATTAGCGCATGCGTGCCTCAGCAAGCGTCTTAAATCCAACCGAATGTCTTCTTTTGTATCGCGTGCCAGGATCTTCGTTCTTTTCACTTCAAACTCCTGGATGCTGGCTGGCATGTTTTCATGTGCACTTTTCTACCCTGAATGTTGCATTCTTGATCGCACATTTATATAAAATATCTGGGCAGAGGCAAGGGTGCAATCATTAGTAACACTGCATATTCTTTGTTAAATGCTGCTTACGTGTGTGCATTGGAATTGACGGCATGTATGATGGATTCGTTTTATGAGTGATTGCATTATTGACCACCAACAGATAACCCACCTGACCAGAATTATCTCTCAACTATTCGTGGGCAACGCATGTTTGGCCCATGACTCGCTTAACCCTTCTCCTAATATCATGAGTAAAGCATCCATCTGTCTTGATGTACTAGGGTCCTTTGGAGAAGATCCATTATCACTAAACAATAGAATTATATTATGACTTGGTTGAAAGATAATTTACGCGTGTACTGTTTTGGAGCGAAAAACAAAACATGAATTAAAAGAGATTAGTTTAAGTAATTAAACTAAATTTGAATTTAATTTTAAATAATTAATCAGGCAAGAAGCCATTCAATTTATTTATTATCCTTTCTTTCATTAAAGTATTATATTATGCTGTACCGAACATGGGAGCAACGACGAAGTTTTAGAGCAAATGAAAACAAAAAGGACACATATTATTAACACAAGGAAGAGACGGTTGAAATTTCTAGGGCACGTAATGAGGAAAGAGGGCTTGGAAAATTTGATACTTACAGGACAGATTGAAGTCAAAAGGAACAGAGGAAAGCAACAAATACAAACCTACCTACTTGAATAAATAGTTCGAGGGCCAAGTTTTAAGAAGATAAAAAAATAAACTTTATGAAGAGCTACAACTGACAGGAAATTGTTGAGAGCCATGATTATCAACGTCCAAAATGGACACTGCACATAGAAGAAGAAGATCATGTTGTAAGAAATAAATATTTATATAATAAAACATTTGTTTAACTTAATATAATAATTTCGTTTTTTCCTTCATAAAACTTAGAACCCCAAATAGAGACTGCTTCCTGCATATGACGATAAACTACATCCGCATTCTGGGTATGACGATAAACAACATTCGGCAGCAAGGCCACTGATCGGGAGGTTTTGATGTCCGTGGAACCAACTCTTAATTGCTGAACCGAGTTGCTAGCACCTGTTAGGGCCCCTACAATGGGTAAATAGTTAACCCCCAAACTGGAGTCAAAACACTATGAAAGTGTAAAGATATTAAATATCAGCAATACATTTTGGAAAAAATATTATCAGCAATACATTTTGGAAAAAATATTACCAGCAAAACATTTTAAAAAATACTAGCAAAACATTTTTGAAAAAAATATAACCGAAAATAAAAATCTTGTCGGTATTAAATAACCCACTGAGGTTGATATACCGTAAAACAAAATAAACCAAACCAAACCAAACAGAGACTTTTACAACAATATCAAAATATTTGTAAATGCAACGTCAATCGTCATCTTCTGTCTCCTTGAATCCTGTTCTTTTTATTGTCTTTTCTTCTCAATAACGTCTTCTCAGTTTCCGTCACTCTCAGTAAGCTCTTACGTCTTAGTGACTTTATCACCTTGCTTGGGGTGAAATAATTTTAAAAAATAGTAAAATTAATGAATATTGTAAATTAGCATAGTAGGAATACATGATATATATGATTGGCTATGATCTATAATCCACTTGGAATTGTACAAGTGACAGCGTTTTCATAGTTGAAACAAAATCGATGAGCACAGATCACAAGATTTCTTAATGAATAGAATAAATTACTCCCTCTTCATACTTAAACCTATGTACGTCTTTGTTACAATTGAAACCTATTCTCTTCTTTAGATGTTGTATTCTTTCTATCTTTATTCAAAATATTGGTTAATGAGAATCTGAAAAGATGAAGGCGGAATACGGTTTCGATTTCATTCTAATTGTCCGATCAACTTACAACTAATAGGACACAAATATTACACTTACAAATTTGCTGACGTTGATGACAACTTGCCACTGCTCGCTTCTGTCAACTCTGGCAAACCTGTGACCTACATGTCACAGGAGTTAACCATTGCTAATGAGGGTTTACTGAGGCTAAAGTCGTTGGATCGGAGTAATACCGATGCCAGCGTGACATTGGTCGCGGGGGCTGGGCAGAAATTAATTTTTGTCCTTGACCCATATGCATAAGTATGTGTATTGCGCTCCTCACGTTAAAACAACCTTGTGTCACATCCAGCCTTGGAAGGGAGACCGTGTAAATACACCTGCCGCCTACCCCTATGGCCAAATGTCGAATACCCACGTCCGATTCCCTGTATCCGCATATTACACAGTCATCCTCAAAAAAATTTAATTACACGTATACTTAAATAAACGTGAGCTGGTAACGCATTGAATTCATTGGTTTTCATCTAACGTGCACCGTATGAGGTCATATGTGAAGTTCTACCTTTTACATAGCATATATACATTCTAAGTTGAACTCGGGGTCAACAACTGTAAATCAACCTTTAAAGAACGACCTCACTTTTTCTCCTGCATTCCTGTCTCTTATAATATGTAAATTTATAAATATTCTGCCATATCGTCTAGCTGTTGACAAGATATATTTTGTAGACTGGAAAGTAAATGCCTTTCTGAGCAATTTATATATATATATATATATATATATATATATATATATATATATATATAAAGTGCTTTGTTTATTCATATATTATACTGACGGAAAAATAAAACAACACCCTGGGAGACGATGCTTATTTTAATCTGTATGCAAGATGTGTGTATGATAGTAAGTACACGGTGAGTCTTCACTCAGGAAATTAACTAGGATTTTAGAGACGAAGTTTCAAACGATCAGTATGGATTACATATATATATATATATATATATATATATATATATATATATATATATATATAATCTGTAAGTGGTAAGGATAATCCGAGTAGTTTTTTTTAATAAAATATTAAAAAAGAAAGATCTGTGGAGAGACCTCAATATATATATATATATATATATATATATATATATATATATAGTGTAACCCGGATATAAGAGACATGGATATAAGAGAAACCCGGATATAAGAGATTTCCTCTGGTCCCAAATTAGAGCCATCTCTGATACTGACCAATTTTACGCATATTGTATACATTAAAACTATATTTTTTATCATATATATATATATATATATATATATATATATAGTCAATTGCTGATACCCACTGACAAGTGGACAGAATAATTCCCGAGGCTCCTGCTACGAAACTCTAGAGTCGAGATGCTGAAGGTAACAACAATCAGCTAATTGACAAACTTTTTATTTGTATTAATTCTCTCTCTCTCTCTCTTTACACACACACACACACAGAGATAGATAGATAGATAGGTAGATAGATAGATAGATAGATAGATAGATAGATTGTTTTAATAATTTCGTCCCAAGCACGGCAATAATGCCACTAAGATGTTACTGAGAGTGAAATTGAATGAGAAAATTTGAATGAAAAGAAATGACGATAAAAGAAGAGACTCCAGGAGAAAAAAAAGATGGCGATTAATATTGCATTTAAATTTTTTGAAGGTCGTAGGTGACATGGCAGTAAAGAACCGAAAGAGAATTCCACAGACATGAAGTGCGAAAATAGAAACTACATTTAACACGTTTCACAGATCCTCGGCAGAAGTGAAAGGGAGTGAATATCCTTTCATCCTAGCAGAGTCTCCAGATCCTATGCTAATCGCATGTGATTTTTGTCAGAACTATGTTCGTATGAGGGGGAGTATATCCATGTCTATCGTGGAAGGACATGAAAGGGTTTTCCTAGGTATTTCTTTGAGCTTGTATCAATCATTTACAAGGATTTTCCCAAATGTCTGTTTAACGTCAAAATCTCATTTTGATGATAATATGGCACCTTTACATAGATTTGAATACCAACAAGTCGCATCCTTGCCAAACTCTCTAACTATACCTTTTCAACTTCAAAATGATAATAATCAACTTCAAAATGGACTTATTTTCCAGTAAAAAAAATTAATCAACTCCAAAATGGATTAATCAACTCCAAAATGGATTAATCAACTCCAAAATGGATTAATCAACTTCAAAATGGATTAATCAACTTCAAATTGAGAATTACGATAATACTAACAAATTTAATATTTATTCTTTTATTTTTACTTAAAAAGGATATAAAAAAAATATAAATGTCTTCTCATTATCTCCTAAAACCTGTTCCGCCAACCTTTTATACAAATTCATTAGGTGGATTATGCGCTGTTTTTCTCCGTCTCCTTTGCCTTCAATATGGTAAGTGTAGCTTAGATGTGGCACAAGGCCCAAATTAAAGGATACGCAGTAAAAATTGAACTTCCTATTCAGTCGTAATTGATATTGCGAGATCGATTTTTTAAGTGTGGCTTAGATGTGGCACAGGTGCGGAGCATCCACTGACGATAGAAATAATTTTCTTAGCGTAGTTTAAAAGTGGCACATGGCCGAAAGGGTGTAGCAGCCACTGAGGATCGAACTCACAACGCAGTGGTAATTGATCTAGCAAGACAAACTTGCTAACCCCTTTACACCACGTCGAACTAACCCGAATAATTAATGGTGATTTTCAAGTGTAGCTTAGATGTCGCAAAAAGCCTGAAGTATGAGGCACCCGGTGTGGATCGAACTCACCATTCAGTTGTAATTAATCTAACAAGACAATCTAACTAACCATTACATCACGTTGAAGTGCCTTTTTGCCTTCAATATGTACTGTGAGTGTCAAATTTTCCAAGTCTTCTTTCTTCATTATGTTCCCTAGAAATTTAAACTGTCCATGTCTGATATTAAGTATAAATGTCGTTTTTGTTTCCATTTTCTCTAAAACTTCGTCGTTCCTCACGTGTTTAGTCCATGGTATTCTCAGCATCCTTCTGTAGAACCACATTTCTGTTGCTTCAGTTTTCTTCCTCATTTGTGAGGAGATTGTCAGGCATCTGCTTTTTTTTTAACGAAATTTTTCTGTTTTCTAATACTTTGTTTAGCTTTTGAAAGGCATCTTTCGCTATCCGAATGCACCTTCGGATTTTGCTGTCGCTTTTTCTATTCTCTGTTAAAACACTTCCAAAATTAAAATTTTTGTACTTGCTTCATTTTGGTATCTCTATTTTGTAACATTTATGTTGGGTTATTCTCTTTTGCTAACAGCCATGCATTTTGTGTTCTTGCAATTGATGTTTAATCATTTCTTTTCACTTTTCCTTTACTGCAGTCTGTAGTTCTTGTACCTTCCTTTCTCTCTGCTATTAACACTATGTTATCTGCATATTTTCCGTTGTGGTCGCCAATAATGAATCCTCGAAGGACTTCTAATATTCGCAGAATCGCTTCACTGTATAGGTTCAATAAATCTGGCGAGAAGACACATCCTTGTCTTACATCTTTTCTATTTTTGTATATTTTTTTAATTCATTTTCTATCCCCATGGAGACGATTTTCTCCCACTATAGCTTCTGAATTATTCTAATATCTTTCCCAAATATTTCAATGTTATCTAGCAGTTCCAACAGTTCATTTATTCTATAAAATATAAGTATACATCCTTTTGCATTTGTAATGCTCTTTCTGGTCTCATTCTGAGCATAGATATTGCATTCCTTGTCCCAATGTCTTTAATGAACCCCCCCCACACTGTTCTTGTTTTTATTTCCGGTTGAATTCCCCTGTGCGCCCTATTCATCAGAATTAGGGGGCTTATTTTTGTTATATGGCTCATTAATCTGATTGTTCGACGGAGTTCATATTTGTTTACACCTGGCTTCTTAGGCAGTGCTATGAAAATGTATCTACTTAGGTCATCCGGTATATTACCCCTTGCATATTTCATTTGTTATGACTGTAATCTTGTCGGTGCCGAATTCGTCTAAGTCTCCCAGCATCTCCATTACAATCCTGTTTTTTTTTAATTTTATTTTTTTTTTCATATTTCCGTTTATTGCCAGTTGAACGTGAAAGAGCTCTCCAATGTTCAAACGCTCAAAAGAATTATATTAATAAAAATGGGAAAAATAAGAAATGTTATTTCGATAGATATAATATATACATTTCTGACGTGTAAATTAATGTATTAAATGTCATGTGTTCGTACTTTTCGCTGTGAGCTGAATCAGCATTGAAAATCTACAAGGTCTTGAACAACATGTACCAGAAAAACTGTAAATGAAAGTTTAAGCATTTAACTGCTATAGAGACATTCGTGTAGAGTAACTAACAAATTTTGTTCGGTTCATGTCATTAATACACTTGTAAAAGGGATATATCAATCTTCCCCCAACTATGGGTTAATTAGCAGGCTCTCTTGCCTTGGATGGCAACCATTCTAAAAGGAAAAGGCTGAATTCAAACCCTCGTAAATAATGTTAACAAGTGAACTATTTAACTGTTATAATGCAACCAGACAAAGAAAAGAAAAAAATCGGAATTCAAAACAAACGTGAAGAAGAATCATCTCTGTCACACGGTATTGTCCCAGACACAGCCATTGCTGCTGAGGTGGTAATACGACCTTAAATGAGTTACGTGACTCTTGGTCTTGAAATTTTACATGCACAAGAATGTACTCATTGTGGAATAAGAAAAAAGAATGTATAGTATACGTTTCTGAAAAGCATCTTTTGAAAACCTGTATTTCTCTTTTTTAGCTCAATCTACAGACGGACTCCAGTTATAAACAACTATTTTTTTTATATATATATATATATATATATATATATATATATATATATATATATGTTGCATCTGGATATTGACATCAATGTCCTCTTTATATTTACATAAGCTCTATCCCTGATATTAAGCAATTTACGCCATACCTTACAAATTTTTATATATATATATATATATATATATATATATATATATATATATATATGTAAGCAAATATCTGGATATAGATCCGACAGTATGAAGAAAATATACAGAAAAAACAAACAAAAATCTTAATATGCAATTATGCTGTATGAATATATATATATATATATATATATATATATATATATATAGGGTGCGATGGATACATTGTCGTCTAAATTACGCAAAAATGAAAATAACACTAGCATCACATTTCAACAGATATATTTACCAAAATTACACAAGAATATCTTGAAATGCTAAAGAGTAGATTTATTCAATAAAATCATCATTGGCTTCAATAATGGCCTCCAGACAACTCTTTTGGGCTGTCTCCTTGTTTTCTTGGTCTCTCGCTCAATTGTACCCCACACATAATAATTGTGGAGGTTGCAGTCTGAGGAGTTAGGTGGCTAGATGTAAGGAATGATGTGATCACAGAAATTGTCCCACAGCAATGGCTGGGTTCTCTTGCATGTTTGGCAAGGTGCAGAATCCTGTTGTCAGACATAGGGTCTTCCAGTAGCGACCCACTTTATCTAGCGCAGCACTAACTACTCAAAACACTTGATGTAGGCCTCAGTGTTGAGTCTGAGGCCCTGTGAGAAGATGAAAGGCCTAACGTCGCCATCACTAGTGATCACTCCAGACACTTTCCTAATCACCATTAGTCTCATCCAGCTATTTTGAAATCCTCTGTTCTGTCGTGTTCTTGACACCCAAACACGCTGAAATGTCTATATTGGAGCTTTCGAAGTGAATACCAAGCAGTACAACATGCCGTTTCCAAATTTCTGGCAGAGTGAATTGCGCTATGGTGCTCTTTTTCTCACGGGCGGTTCCCAACTGACCCTACTATACTACGCAGTCGACTAAATCAAAAACAAACAACGCACATGCGCGAGATTGAAAATATAAAATGTCGGCAATTTGCCCATCTCATCTTGTATATATGATATAATACGAAACAAAGCAGGAAGCATTTATATTTTCACTTTCATTTAAGCTCTTTTGAAGAAGTTTAAATAAAAGGAAAGCATGTTAACATAATAACCATTCCCTATTTCTTCATTATTCAAGCATTTTGTCTGATCTCACACCATATTTAATGCAATACATACATACACACACACACACACACACACACACACATATATATATATATATATATATATATATATATATATATATATATATATATCAAGGACTTGAAACAGGTCCCAGGTGGAGAACATAGACAACCAGTAGGTAAAGCCATCTTCGTATATACAGATAGATAGATAGATAGATAGATAGATAGATAGATAGATAGATAGATATCATGAAAATAGTCTATGAACAGGTTCCAATAGAAAAATGTACAAAATTATTTGCACCATAAGAAGAAAGAAAAAGCTGCGTAAAGATAATGAAATAAAATAACAAAACTAAAAGAAAAACAAGGGAATAGAGAATCGAATGAATAAGAAGAAGGAAAGAATGAGTGACAAGAATGAAATAAAAGGAAACGAAAGGTCGGAGTAAATACGAATGAATGAAGAGAGAAAACAAATGAATGAAAAAGATGAAAACAAATAATAATGGCAAGCAAAGTAGCATTAAAATCTCAGATATATCGAAGAATTAAGGAAAGAAACTTAGTTGGATGACAGGAAAGACTGAACGGAGAAAAATTAAAAGCGAAGCAATAAAAGAAAGAAAGAACAGGATTTCTCTCATGCGTTACTTTTAACATCTTAATTTCTTACATCCCTGTTTCTATCACTTTTCCACCGACCACGGCCTCATCTTCAAACATCACCGCTGCCTTTCAGAAGCGCGTTTTCCCGCGCCTACAAATACATGTTATCGCCTCCCGCTCGCAACCGGTGTGATCCATTTCTACTCTTTTGCGTCCATGCAGAAACAGCTAGCCGGCTCTGACCGCTAAGAGAAAAAGCAGCTTTTTAAGCAGCACCATTTCGTCAATCTCTAAAACTTTTAAAACAGAACGAATGCAGGTTGATTTATTTTGGGAGGTAGGTGCCAGGGACTGTTGATCGTCGAGGAAACTTGGACTAGGGCCACGTTATGTCTGCTAATCTGTTTTCAGTCGTTCGCACGTTTTCTTCTTAATCTTAATTCACACGCTAATTCCCTAGATTGACACCGCTGAAAGTACCAACAGATTAACTGGCTAAGCTGGGTCACCGTTCGTCTGTTGCCAACGCCCGGCCTGACAGGCGCTGACGTTCGCCAGTCATTTTCCTGGGCTTTTATCAGTTTAGAAGTGACGTTTTGATGCGCAGTTCGACAGATGCAGCTCGAGAGAGACAGACACAAAAAGAGAAAGAGAGAACCCCTGACAATGAAAAGGAGGAAGAAATTTTGTTTAAATTTCCTCGATAAACGAGTTTCTCGGTCGATGAAACAACTAAAATGTATGGTTCTCTATAAGGCATGTGAAGTACTAAGGAGTCGAAAAATAACATTAGAAACGAAGGAAAGAGTACTAAACTACTGTGTTGTCTTAACGACTACATCGCAGTAAAAACTGGTCAGTTTCCTCACAAACTGAAAAGGTCTTGAAACGTTAGAGATGATTACTAACCCCTCATATATATATATATATATATATATATATATATATATATATGTGTGTGTGTGTGTGTGTGTGTGTGTGTGTGTGTGTGTGTGTGTGTCTATATATAAGTGAAATTAACCGTTTCCGTTTAGGAAACATTCGATGTTCATTGACCGAACAGCTAGTATATTTTTGTTAAGAAATTTTCTTAAAATACTTTTTCACGAAATCAGACTTCTCAAGTCCACAAACTGCTATCGCTCTAGTATTAATAGTAGTTTAGTATTAACAGTAGTATTAATAGTAGTTTAGTATTAACATTAGTATTAATAGTAGTTTAGTGTTAATAGTAGTTTTAGTTCTCTCTAGTATTAATAGTAGTTTAGTGCCAAACCTTTTGTTTAATTATTGGAGAAAGTCGGCATATTGATATTTATTATTATTTTCCCTACTATGTGCTATCAGTTTTTGTTGTTGTTTTTGCTATTGAAAGTCTTCAAGTGGTGCTTTTTTTATTATTATTATTTGGTGTAGTGAATATCATTGATAGTACATGCGACAAATGAGGCAGTTCTCAGGAGAATAAACTGCTGTTCATAACAATGAGAGATACTTGAACTTTGGAGCTCACTTAATGCGGAAGGAATGCTTGAAGAAACTAGCACTCACAGGGCACATCAACGGCAAGATAAGCAGACTAATGCAGCGAGTAAACTACTTAAGTTTGTGCAACTTGAACAAGTATCATAAAGATGAAGCGGGGTCAAGAATGAAGAATCATTGCTGAGAACATCAAACGATATAAGGATGTGGAGGACTATGTTCACTCACATCCTGAAGGGACACGGTATATAGAAGAAGAAGAAGAAGAAGAAGAAGAAGAAGAAGAAGAAGAAGAACAAGAACAAGAACAAGAACAAGAAGAACAAGAACAAGAACAAGAAGAAGAACAAGAAGAAGAAGAACAACAACAACAAGGCTATATTGGCTATGTCAAGAAAAGTAGGAAGAAGGATGTCAAGGAAGAAGAAAAATAATTCTATATTGGCTATATCAAGAAAAGTGGGAGAAACGAATGAAACAAAGCAGAAGAAGAAGAAGAAGAAGAAGAAGAAGAAGAAGAAGAAGAAGAAGAAAATATATATTATATTGGCTATATCAAAAAGACGAAGAAGACGAAACAAATAAGACTATTATATTGGCTATGTCAACAAGGAGGAGAAGACTAATGGCTATGTCAAGAATAATAATAAGAATGTGAAGAAGAAGACGAAGAAAAGAAGAAGACTATTACATTTGCTATGTCAAGAAGAAGAAGAAGAATGAATGAATGAATCGGTTCTGTATATGGAAAAACTTAATACACTACATTGGGCAAGATTAACAGTTTGTTTAAATCAATTACCATTTAATCAGTGAAGTTAACGAATGCACAATTTAGTTTATTAATGCTTACAGAAATGAATGGACGTTGAGAATTGAATTGAATTTAATCTTCGGATATTCAAAATAATTTCATGGATAGAACTAATGCAGTTTTTTTTTTTGGGGGGGGGGTACCAATCGCAGCTGTCACACATCATGGTCCATCAACAGTAATTTTCGATTTAAACAAATTAAACTACAAAAACCTCAAAAAACAACAGCACTGTCATTAAAGATCAGCCATCAGATTGAGTTCAAATTCTAAGGATGATTGATACTATATTCCTCTTTTATATTCTATAACTGATCAGTACTTGGACGACCATTTCTCTTTACATCTAACCAATCTTTATCGCTTTAAGCAATGCTATCCCCTACCACCCCTCCCATTCCCTGCTCTACCATCCACTTTATATAAATTGAAATTTCAAGAATACCATGGGCAGAACAGTGTGTTATGAGAATTTTTTAAGGAAAATGGAGACGAAAAGGATATATAAATATATAATCAGAAAGTCATACATTTGAAATTTGTAGGATACATAATAAGGAAAGCGGGCTTGGAGAATTTAACATAAAATATTTATTGAAGGCAAGAAGTTTAACGAATAACCTCTACTCATATAACTTATTGAGTATGATATTCGTTGACTCTCTTGCATTCAATATCTCCCGTGAATGTATTCTTTTCATCTTTATGTAAAACAAATGGAATCTTGACTTAACTAAAACACTCTATCCAAACGACACTGACGAGATGTCATTTAAAGTGAATTCTCCGGCAAAACGTATAGGCCTACTCATATTTTAACTGGTAAATTTCGCCGCGAAAATACACTCACTTATGAAAAGCAAGAATTTTTGCTTCTTTCAGAAATTTTAAAAGTCGTCTATTAATCACTGAATACATTTAAGCTTAATATATTTACGTGCATATATGCAGCAGATAGATAGATAGATAGATAGATAGATAGATAGATAGATAGATAGATAGATAATGAGAAGATATATAGATAGATTATGAGAATATATAGGGCAGATAATGATTGATCTTAGACTTTTATACGGTTATATATATATATATATATATATATATATATATATATATATATATATATATATATATATATCCCAAGTATAGGATTGCTATACGGAATAAATTCCAATAACCCAAAAATAATATTCTTAAAAGAATGCTCAATACAGAGTAGAGCAAATATAATTTTTTCGAAAGTTATAACATACATGTTATAAAATCACTACAAAAATGGCTATTTTTGTTTCAACACTTCCTGGTGTCTTATCAAGTGATGGTGTTGAATGTAGAATAAATTTTTATGTTATAAGTTATAATGTTATAAATATTTATTCTAATTTTCGAATAAATTACACACACACACACACATATATATATATATATATATATATATATATATATATATATAGTGGAACCTCAATTTAACGGACTAATAGGAAGATGGTCGTCCGATAAAGCTGTTTTATCCATTAAAGTCATTTGTCAGAAAATTTGAAGCATTTTTTCATTGTCTAAAAGCACCTAATACGGTACAAAATTATTGTAAATAAATGTAAATACAGTATATGTGTATGTGTATGTTATTTTTAACTTACTGTGTAGGAACTTACAATAAATTACACACACACACACACATATATATATATATATATATATATATATATATATATATATATATATATATATATAAAGAGAGATGCTGTATATGTTACGGTTTAAATTTACCTTTAAATAAAGTTAAAAAAAAGTTTCAAAGTTTCAAAGTGCTTACACTTACGCACAACACCTTTCTTATCTTTGGTTGGGTCCACTTTAAACTTCACTGCAAAAGCTTGGCGTTTTTTCTTACTCCTACTCTTACCACGGAAACTCCTGACTGAAACTTCTTAATAAGCAACAATTTGTCACCAATACAAAGGTGAGTGCGCTTTCTTCTTCCCGCCTCTGTTAGAATTGCATGCCATATTGAAGGGCTTGACAAAAAAAAAAAAAAAATACTGTATACTGTACCAAAATCAGTAAAAATGTTCGAGAGACGATGGATTTGTGTACACGACGTGCGCTCAAGTAAACAACAATTACTAGTCTTTGTATGTTGATTGCGCCAGTGAACAACAGTGGCCAATCCTGAAACAAGCAGTCTTTGCTCGCTACGCGCGGGCGTTCTTAGTTCCAACCGGACACTACAATTTCTGCGGATTTTGTCCGTTAAATCCAGAGCTCGTTAGTTCTGAGGCCGCTAATTGAGGTTTTACTGTGCTTATATATATATATATATATATATATATATATATATATATATATATATGAATATGAATAAAACGACAATTGGAAATCTGAAAATAACGGCAGTATTTGTCACGTGTGGAGAATATTGTCATTATATTTGTGTTGATGTTAAAAATATAAAAATAGCGTTTCTCTACATTCCAGTTGCTAGGTACATTCTGTTTTTGTTTTTATTAGTTACTTTGTTCATTTAATTTCATTTTCGTATTTTGCTTTGATAAAATCCACATTGGGCGAAACGCGTCAGCAATTACCAGTTTTCCTATTGTCATTTTTAGTCATAAATATTGTCTGCTCTACTGGTTAAATCGGAAAAAATTTTCATATATATATATATTCATGAATTATTCATACAAAAAACAAATACAAAGGTTAATGATTTAATTGGCGAGAAATCCATCGTCGCAAATAATTCAAATAATATACAAAAACCCCGAAGCTGTTTATGAATGAAAAGATCCTTGTTTTTATAAATTTCTGTTGCATAAGTTCTTATTATTAATTAATTGCACCTTTATTGAAATTAAAATAACTGATCCAAGTGCAACTTTTGGATAATAAGTGCGACATTACTGTAATTATTGAACAATATAGTTCATGCCACTTTGACAGAAAATTTACCAGTAAAAAATAATTCACTCATCACTATATTTGTACAAGAACGCACAATCGTAAAATTTAAATTCAAACTCAGCGTTGCTACTGCACGCTCCAAAAACAATAACTCATTTCTAATAGCATTTTTCGGATTACAGCAGTACATATATTTTCGTTGTCCTCTTATTACTGAGAGTAAAAACAAGAACAAAATCTATTCCATACCTGAGGATGTCTGTAGGAACAGACGAAAGCTTGTAAAAATAATAAGAACTTACGCAACAGAAATTTATAAAAACAAGGATCTTTTCATTCATAAACAGGTTCGGGGTTTTTGTGTATTATTTGAATTGTTTGCGACGATGGATTTCTCGCCAATTAAATCATTAACCTTTGTATTTGTTTTTGTATGAATAATTTATGAATTTGTAAATTAATTGCACCTTCATTGAAATATATATATATATATATATATATATATATATATATATATATATATATATATATGCGTGTGCGTGTGTTTACATATATATATGTATAAATCATTATTTTATTTAGCAGGACTTCTTGAGCCTTTAACGTAAGTCTCACTATTTAAACTAAAATGACTGTCTACTCACAATCATGTAGCCACTAAATATAAACTTTACAATAATAATAATAATAATTATAACAGATAGATAGATAGATAGATAGATAGATAGATAGATAGATAGATAACCAGCCATATCGTCGTAGTTAAGAAGCTCGTTTTACAGTGAAATCTGCTATTCAATGGCGTTTGAGCATCACTGGGTTCCCGGTGGCCTTTCATTGGCTTCAGCTACGTAAAATATTCGGACCTGTGTCAGGCAATTAGGAAGAAATGATTGAGAAAAATAGATCCAATGTGAAATAATCAGTATATTGTACCCAAAATTAGACACATGTTTAACTAAAGGAAAATATAAAAGCTGTCCATAGTGTCGATGAAATCTAGGAATGTGATTCCATCGCTGAATCAAGAAGTTCTCGTTCATATTAACTTTCATGTCAACGATGGCGGCCTTCAGTTATTTGTTGGTATTGTCGAGTCAATGGATGCTTTCCCTCGCCACGATCCTTCAGACATACGTCCTGAGTATTTACCCCAGGAGAGTGGCACAACTACAAAGAAAGAAGATCCTCGCTTAAACCTACAGGCTTAATTCACTGAAAGACATGTTTAATGATTTTCAAAGTGGCTGTAATGGGTAAATTAAAGCGATGAAGTTCAAATCGAATTTCTTTTCTTAAACTATCTTCAAAGACCTTAAGAAAAATGTATGTCAGTTAAAAAAATATATTTACAAAACGTGTAAGATAAAAGTTTAAACAAAAACTTGTAAACAGTATAATTGTAATGTAAGCTGTTGTAATTAACAAGATTCATTTCAAGGTTCATCCTTAAACGTAAATGCGAGCATTTCTTTTCCAAAATCTCCCATGAGTTTTCCGTCAGATTAATGATGGGCGAGAAAGTCGGACACGCCATCAAACAAATGTCTTTGAAAACCATTTTTATTCAGATTGTTATCAGCTTTCTGTGCTAAATATGGTGGAGCATTTTCGTACATAAAACCATGTCACTGAAAATGTTTGCCTTCGTCTAAACATGCGGCTTCACGTGTACCTTCCAAAAATGTCCATCTTAAATGTCCCCATAACAATAGACTCACCATTTCACGACATATAAATCCACTCCAAAACATACGACCGACGCCTTCTTGACGTCTTAACCTGTATCGGTGGTGCCCACAACCAGAAGCCACCCCCAGCCTTTGGTTCAACGATCCGTTCTGTCGAGGTTATAACGGCATTTGTCGGTAAAAATAACTGCTGAAATATCGGTCTTCTCGTTTTATGTTTCTCATAGAATTTGGTTTTTCTTATGGTTGTCTTTGAAATGGCGTCGAACGCTTTGTTCTTGATTTCCTTTTCAACCCTTTCCCGCTGCCGCATCACCTAAAAATGTTATCCGTTGACAAAGACGGATGTTAGAAAACTTCTTCCTTGATACGAGGAACAAATCGGCAAGATAAAGTCATCAGTTTCCCTTATCAGAGATGCATCGTTGTCGTCCAGGATCTGGACAAATAAATGTTGCCATCATTCAATAAATAAGCTTCTCATCAGTATTTATTCTGTAGATCGATAAAATATGAAGTGGTGATTAATGTCTGACGCAGGATATTTTAATACCGAAGAACTAAACACTATCAACGTGCATGCTCCAACTTGCTTTCTTTATCTATCAACAATATTTACTAAGCATAATTAACATAAGCACAAGACCACAAATACGGTGCACTGATTAAAAATAGAACGCAAAAGATAGAACTCAGTAGACTAGTAATGATAATAACTTAACTTAGTAACCATCACGCTACAAAAAGTAACTGTATCTATCTATCTATCTATCTATCTATCTATCTATCTATCTCTGTCTGTTCATATCTATCTATCTATCTATCTAAGTCTATTTATATCTATCTAATCTGTCTATTCGGTTTGTTGATGTCTATCTCAGTCTATTCATGTTTATATAGACATATTAATCTAGTTATAGTTATCTATTTATCTAAGTCTAATCAAAACTAATCTATCTTTGTTTATATCTATCACAGTCATCATATTTACCTTACCATCTCAATCTATTTACATCTATCTATCTATCTAGCTAGCTAGCTAGCAATCTATCTAAGCCTATTCATATCTATTTACTGTCTATTTCAGTTTGTTGATATCTATTTCAATCTAGTCATATCTACATATCCACCTTAATCTACTTATATCTATTTATCTAAGCCTATTCATATCTAATTTATATTCAGTCTGTTCATATCTATCTATCTATCTATCTATCTCAGTCAATTGAGATCTATCTCAGTCGGCTTATATCTATCCTAATCTGATTACATTTACCCTCATCAGTCTGTTCATATCTCTCGTTCGATCAGTTTATATCAGTTTGTTCATATCTATCTCAGTCTAGTCAAATCTATATCTCTGCCTGTTAAATATATATATATATATATATATATATATATATATATATATATATATATATATATATATGCATGTATGTATGCATGTATGTATCAGTCAAAATATCTATTTTGAACGATTAAAATTTCTATGTGTTCGTTATGGAATAAATTAAAATTATGCCTCAAAAATTATTTTAAGTGATGACCATAACTTTTGTATTAGACTATACCGAGTTATTTTGCTTGAAACGTAAAGAAAGAAAGAAAGAAAGAAAGAAAGAAAGAAAGAAAGAAAGAAAATAGCATAAAAACTTGTCAGTGAGACATAGATTGAAAAAGTATCTGTAAGTAAATGAGAAAAGAAATAAAAAGCAGACGCTTTTATCAATCTACAGGAATGCAAATCATATCTCCACCATTACGTACTTGTGTGATTCGGCCATACATCAACATATTCTAAAAAAATTGGTCCATACCATGTTAGAGACAATTCACTTCCGTGATAGATTTCTCAGCAAGATTATGCAGACACCAATCGTAATAGTGACAGTGTATTTTTCTCTTTTTAACCTTCATTTTTCTTAGCTCCAATTACTACTTAAGCTAATATTTCAAGTTGCAAAAGTGAAAAAAAATAAAATAATGATCACTCAATGAAAAAGTAAAGGCGGTAGATCCAAAAAAGGAGGAGGAAAAAAAAATATGAAAGGGAAAAAATCGGAAGAAGAATTTTTATTTCCTCATTTTTACCTTTTACTTTCAGTTTCACTTTTACTTTCGTTATGTCGTATCCAACTCTTTCACCGCTGATCTAAGTGACTTATCCGCTGGCAGCTCGAAAATCGAAACAGACTAACGGGTAAAAGAAAACCAAAAATATAGAGACCAAGACTGCCATCTCATTCAGCAGGCTCCTCTCTTGCGTTCTCTTTTCCTCGCCGCGCCCCTACAAGAACGCCCATGCCCGAACATCTACGCCGCCGCTGATTTCGGAAGTTCTTTTGGCTCTGAGAAAATGGAAAGCGGTTCGGCATGTCAGACCTTAAACTTGGACCAATTATGGAGCCCGACAGTGATTCTGGGCCATTGCATCAAAACAGAAGGCGGGAAGTGTGCCTACTTATCCACTTTCCCATTAAGATAAGTTCAACTCAATGGCGTTTTCTTTGACTGTTTTTTAACGCTATTTTATATCTTTTTTTCAGGATAGTAGAAATAGGAGGGGGAAATTGGTATTATAAAAAGGTTAAAGAAAGAAAGAAAGAAAGAAAGAAAGAAAGAAAGAAAGAAAGAAAGAAAGAAAGAAAAAAAAAAGAAAGAAAGCCAGCTCAAGAAGGTAACATACAAAGAAAGAAACATAAAAACAAAGGGGAAGACAATGTAGAAAGGATAGAATTTTAAATAGAAAGAAAGAAAGAAAGAAAGAAAGGAAGAAAGAAAGCTAGCTCAGAAAAACAAAAAAAACAAAGAAAGAAACATAAAAACAAAGGGGAAGACAATGTAGAAAGGATAGAATTTTAAATAGAAAGAAAGAAAGAAAGAAAGAAAGGAAGAAAGAAAGCTAGCTCAGAAAAACAAAAAAAACAAAGAAAGAAACATAAAAACAAAGGGGAAGACAATATAGAAAGGATAGAATTTTAAATAGAAAGAAAGAAAGAATGAAACCGCAGACGACACAATACTGTGTAATAATGCATGACATAGTTAAAACTAAAAGAAAACGAATGCAGAGAAAATTAAAATAATTATATTTTAAGAGACAAATAAATAAAATAATTGAATTATGTTAAAAAAAAAAAGTGAGATGCTGCGAAAGAATCAGAATGCTTTAAGACGATTGCAGGTAGAAAATAAAACTAGAAGAAAAAATAAATACTTGAAATGAAAATAGATAAAATCCGGCAAAGAAAGGAAAAAGAAAAAATGCTAAATTGTCAAAATGAAAAAGATGTGAAAGCAAAACCATCGAATGATTCAGAAGACAGCATAAGAAAAACTTAGTCATTTAGAAAGCAAAAATGCTTTCCATTTTTTCATTTTTTTATTGAATCCTTGAATTATGGAAGAGCTTTCAAATGGTAAATACTATGGTGCATTTCTTAAATTGATACCCAATATGGACACTTGTACAATCTCACTGTCCTAGACCTTTATTTAACAGCGAGTCAAACACATAATGTCATCCATGATATTTAGTCTCTATAGTCACGATTCATTCACGTATATTTTCACTCTCTCTCTCTCTCTCTCTCTCTCTCATATATATTTCTCTCTCTCTCTATCCCTTTCTCGTTTGTTCGCTCTCTTTATCTCACTCTGTTACACATACACGGTAGTGTACAGATTTACATGGTCACAGTTGCTCAAACAGCCATACTTACTTTTATTCACTGTTTATTTGAAGAAAAAAAAAATATATATATATATGAATTACAAATAAATGAAATTCAAAAGTATCCCATCTGAATGGACACTTCGCTCCGTAAGTGCTTGTCAATACTAAAAAGTTAGATTTTATCTAACATTTTAGTGTTGGCAAGCTCTTGCGGAGCGAAATGGCCATTCAGATGGAGTATTTTTGAATTTCAGTTATGTGTAATTTATATATATGATCTGTAATAAATGCATTTAGTTCTATTTGTGGATCAGTTTTAATATTTTATATTATTAGAATTCACTTGGATAACTTACCCAGGGATTTTTACCTATATATATATATATATATGTGTGTGTGTGTGTGCGTGTGTGTGTGTGTGTGCGTGTGTGTGTGTGTGTGTTTCTGACATGTTTGGTTGAATAATATCGA